AAAGCATCCTTGATTACAGCAACTCTAGGTTTGAATCTGTTCTTCAGTTCCTTGAGCTTAAGAAATGCGGAGCGAGTTCGGCCCTTTTGATTTTCCGACTCTAGCTCCTCACATTTAATTTTTATAAATACATACATAATAAAATGCAATTTCAACATTTGTATATATACAATTCAGTGATATTAATTTCATTTTTGTCACACAACCATCCCTTCATTCTTATACTTAAGGGAAGACTGAGGTAGTGGGTGAGGAGCTCTGGTGGACTAGTGGTAAGAAACTCTGCTGCAGTTCTAAAGACACATGGTAGGATGGGTAATTACGATTCCCTGTGAAAACCTGCCAGAGGGGCAGCTATGGGTCAGCTCTGACTTGATGGTACACAATAACAACAAGGGAGTGTATCAAAGAAAAAAATGGTATGGCATTCCAGCCTTATTTCCCATTTCCTCCTCTCTTCTCAATCCATTAAGAACTTACTAGGTGCCTGTTATATGCCTAGCAGTATACTGGTAATGTGGGACATCTGGAAGATACTCATTTATGTAGTTTGCCTGACTATTGTTGTTGCTGTTATGTACCATCGAGTCGCTTGCGACTCATAGCGACCCTATGTACAGGAGTCCTAAATGCCGTTTTATCCTGTGCCAACTTCGCCATCTCAAACACACTCATTCCCACAACTCCACTCACAGAACTGACTGATCTCATCAAGAGCCTTCCTCTTCTGCGCCATCCCTCCACTCTCCCAAACATGATGTCCCTCTCCAAGGTCCAGTCCCTCCTTGCAACATGCCCAAAGTATTTCAGATGAAGCTTCAGAATCCTTGACTCCAAGGAGCATTCTGGCTTCACCCTCTCCAGGACAAACCTGTTAGTTCTCCTAGCAGTCCACGGTATATTCAACACTCTTCTCCAACACCACAGTTCAAAGGCATCAATTCTCTTTCTATCATCCCTATTCACTGTCAAACTCTGATGCATAGCATGTAATTGTAAAGACTATAGCCTGGATCGGGTGCACCTTATTCTCCAGCCTGATGTCGTTGCTCTTCAGTATTTTTGGGAGGTCCCTCACAGCTGACTTTCCCAATTCAATTCTTCTCTTGATTTCCTGGCTGCTGTTACCAAGTAAACTAAAACTGTTAACTATATCAATCTCTTTACCATGCATACTGATGCTGCCAATTGGCCCAGTGGTGAGAATCTTCGTCTTCTTGATGTTGAGCTTCAATCCATACTGAAGGCTGCAGTCCTTGACCTTCTGCAGCAAGCACTTCAGGTCCTCCTCAGTTTCAGCGAGCAGGGTTGTGTCATCCACATAACCCAGGTTGTTGATGATTCTTCCACCAATCCTTATGCCACATTCATCCTTGTACAGTCCAGTATCTCGGATGATCTGTTCTGCATACAGATTGAAAAGGTATGGAGACAAAACACATCCCTGACAGACCGCCTTCTTGATTTTGAACCATCCAGTGTCTCCTTGCTCTGTTCTGATGACTGCCTCTTGGTCAAAGTATAGGTTTCACATTAGCACAATCAAATGTTTTGGGATACCCATTCTTCTCAGAGTCAGCCATAGCTTGTTGTGATCCACACAGTCAAAAGCCTTTGCATAGTCAATGAAGCACAGATACACATTCTTCTGGTATTCTCTGCTTTCTGCCAAGATCCATCTTACATTAGCTATAATATCCCTAGTACCACAACCTCTTCTAAATCCAACCTACACATCTGACAGTTCTCTGTTGGCATATTGTTCCAAACGTTTTTGAATAATTTTCAGCAGAATCTTGCTTGCATGTGATATTAATGATATTGTTCAATAATTCCTATGGTGGAGAAAAGAAATAAGTGGGTCAAGACACTTGTGCCAAGGGCAGGGACAACACCTTATCTGTTGGATACTTCTCTAAATCTGAAAATTCAGATTAAGACACACTAGGAAGAAGGATTGGCCATTCACTTCCAAAATAGCAGGCCTCGGAAAACCCTATGTGCAACAGAACACACGTAGAATGACGGAAAGGGCAGCTGAGTATGGAAATACAAAGGAAGAGGAAGAGTTGTAAGCAGACACTAGTGATTGGAACATGGAGTGTGAGAACCATAAATGTAGGAAAATTAGATATTGTTAAGGAGGAAATGGAACACATAAATATTGACATGTTAGACATTAGCGAAATGACATGGACCGGCATGGGGCATTTTGAGTCGGATGATCATATAATATACAACTCCGGAGATGAAAAGGTAAAGAAAAATGGGGTTGCTTTCATTGCTAGAAAAGCCATTTCTAGACCCATCTTGAAGTACAATATTGTGAGTGACAGGATAATATCCATATGCATACAAGGAAGTCCAGTGAATACCACTATCAGTCAGATATATGCACCAACCACCAGAGCCGAAGAAGAGGAAATAGAAGACTTCTACCAACTTTTACAGTCGGAGATCGATCGACCATGCAATCAAGATGCATTGATAATAATGGGTGACTGGAATGCAAAAGTGGCAAACAAAGTAGAATCAGTAGTTGGAAAACATGGACTCGGTGACAGAAATGGAGCTGGAGAGAGAGTTATTGAATTTTGCACAATCAATGACACATTTTTAAGAGACATAAATGAAGGTTATACACATGGATCTCACCTGATGGTATGCATAGGAATAAGATCGATTACATATGCGGAAAGAACCGCTAGAGAAGCTCAATATCACCTGTGGAAACTAGGTCAGGAGCTGATTGTGGAACAGACCACTAACTACTCATATGCAAGTTCAAGCTGAAGCTGAGGAAAATTAAACTGAATCCACGGGAACCAAAGTATAACTTTGAGTCTATCCCACCTGAATTTCAGAACCATCTCAGGAACAGGTTTGAAGCCTTGAATACGAATGAGCGAAGACCAAATGAGTTGTGGGAGGATATCAAGGGTATCATCTAAGAAGAGTGCAAATATTCATTACAAAGACAGAAGAGGAAGAAAAGACCAAAATGGATATCAGAAGAGACTCTGAATATTGCACTGGAGTGCAGAGAAGCCAAAGCACAAGGAAGAATTCATGATACTAAAGAGCTGAAAAGAAGATTTCAAAAGGCAGCACGGGATGACAAAGATATTACAATGAAATGTGCAAGGAGTTGGAGTCAGAAAATCAAAAGGG